TGCCCTCCTGAGGTCTCCTCCAACCCAATATTCCACAACCCAGCTTGCTCCAGAAGGGATTTGAAGGTGGATTTGGATGCTTTTCTACACCCTATCCTTTATTGCAATAGTTCTGCTGGCACCTTTCTTTCCACAGAGGTCCCCAAGGCTTGCACAAGAGACGTTGCATGCACAGGGGTAGCTGAGCCATTGCAATGCACCAAGCAGCCTGGGCCACCCCGGCAAGCCATGCTTGGGATGGTGACTGTGTGCTCTGCAATGCAGGCTGGCATCAGCCTTTGCACATGTATGAGAAAGAGGTTGGCAAGGAAAGTTTACTGAGCATGTCGTCAGCCCCTATGTGTCCTCCTATAACACCTCTGTCCCAGGAGGGTGCACCCTGCACCCAGTTTTACTTCTTTTCCTTATCCAGATCGTGCTGCAGGAGAAATCTCCACCACTAATGTTGCAAAGCACCTGATTCCGTGATGTGTCACATCCTGCAGGCTGGGCAAGGCAGGACACGGGGAGATGGAGACGATGGAGGCTCTTGCCTGGACTGGGTGAGGTACAGGGAGCCACTGGGGACATGATGCTGTGAGTCACTGACTCCAGATCCCTGCTTTCCTGCAACCATCCAACCAGGTGATTCCTCTCATAGCCCTATCAGGCCATATCCCACAAGGAGTTTGGGGCTTTTCTTCCTGTTAGAGAGAACAGGTCCTGCCAAGTGCTCTCTGATGTCTACAAACCCTTTGCTAACTTCCATTTGACACGTATTCTCGGCCAGATGATCCACACTTCTCCCAAGGTCAAAGTCTTAGAAGGAGTCTCATCCATCCTGGTCTTTCCCAACATCTCTCATCAGTCAGAATGAGATCAGCATGAGATCCTGGTCTTTCCTAACAGCTCTTATCGCTCAGAATGCACCGAGCATCACTATCAACTGCTGAAGCCACATAGCAGGAGCTGCCTCCCTTGGGATGAGTCAAGGTCTAATGGACCATGGGCCAGAACATTTCTCTTCCAGCAGCTTTGGCGTTGTCTCTTGTTCTGCACTAGCCATGGCATTCCCATTCCTGCATCCTCTTCCTGACTTTTTTCCCAGGGCCTTCTTGGAGGCTTATGACGCAAGTCAGACTGTACCCGTTGCTTAGTCAGTGGATGGAACGATGTGCCACGCAGACCCTCTCATTCTTACCTCTGATGAAATGCATGGCTTTTCTTTTTGCATTAGGATATTAGTATTTAATTGCTGGATTGCAGAAAGAGCTTGTGACGAAAACTGTTAGTTCTTAACAAGGAAGTTGTAAGGTTGAATCAACCAGGAACCTCAGTATGAGGTGAACAGGGACACTGCAATCACCAGCTTTGGCCACAAGAAGGAACAGAGTCAGTTCAAAGGGATGAAGTGGAAAACACTGATGCAAGGGGGGTATGAACCATAGTTTTTTATTGCCTCCACATCTGCTGTGAAATAAGGACGGGAACAGCACTTAATATTTCACAGGGACGGTGAGTTACACTTTCAAAACATGTTACAAGCAAAATGAGAGGAAGAGTGGAGATGCATGAACAAGACAGGACATGCCATTCATCAAGGCAATGTTGCAAGAGGGAGAAGGTTCCCCCATTCATCCCCATTCCTCATGTCCTCTATTTTGTCTTCTGGGCTGGCACTTTGCAGACCTGCTTTTGTTGCTGGCTTGGGATGCACTTTGCAGCAGGCACGCAGCCTTGCTGCACCGGAGAGGGACAGGTCTGCACTGGGGGGCACTGGGTGATGCACTGCGTTGGCTTGCTGTAGCATGGCTTCCCACCTTGGTACCCTGATCCATGGCACGTCTCAGAGCAGACGGACCTCCCATAGCTCTGGCATCCTCCCGACGACCCATAGCTGTACGTGGGTCTCCTGACACAGCTTGAACCACCTCCATGGCATGAACCTGAGGATCCATGGCATCTCTCGGAGCAGACGGACCTCCCATAGCTCTGGCATCCCCCTGACGACCCATAGCTGTACGTGGGTCTCCTGACGCAGCTTGAACCACCTCCGTGGCATGAACCTGAGGATCCGTGGCATCTCTCGGAGCAGACGGACCTCCCATAGCTCTGGCATCCCCCTGATGACCCATAGCTGTACGTGGGTCTCCTGACGCAGCTTGAACCACCTCCATGGCAGGAATCAGACACAGCATAGCCGTGGCACCTCTCGGAGCAGACTGGCTGCCGATAGCCATAGTGACGGTAGTTGTGCCCTCTCATCCCTTCAACGCCTTCACCGTCGCACCCTGAGCAGCAAGTGTTGTACCCATAGCGGAAGGGGGTGCGCCGGGTGTCCAGCCAGGACCCTGAGGGATCGTACCAGGTTGAGTTCAAGTTGAAGTATGATTCCCTTCCAGAAGAGTAGATCATGTTTGAGTCGTAGGGGAACACCTGCAAAACACACAGTCACGTATGTCTGGACGTCCACCTCTTCTCTTTCCATTCAGTTTGCCATAAAGAAGGTTTAGTGAGCCAGGAACAGGTCAACCTTGCTTATCCTGAAAGCCTGGATCCAAAGACAGTTCTTGCAGCTGCCCAGTACTGATCACATCATGTCCAAACCCCCTTTCTGACCTTACCCTCACTTTTTCCCTCTCCAGGAACAGAAACAACCATAAAAGCATTGCAGAATTTAGTGGCATTGCTGTAGATCCCACACCCAAGTCTCTCAATAGCTTCTTTCTTCGCTTTGCCCATTGTCCTCTAGCCCTGGTGGTCTGAAACAGGGGGCAAGTGTGCCAGGTCTGTGACCCCCTGAATCCAGACACCCATCCAAAAATGAAGCCGGGATGTTTCTTACCCAATTCACAAGGGGAGGCAGATGCTGACCAGGGGAACAGATTGTGAGAAGCAAAGGGCTGGAGGCCTTTTATATAGTTCCAAGTCTCTCCCATTGTAAATGAAACACTCTGCAGGAACGAGGATTAAATGATTTATTGACAAAACACCTCCTCCATTTGGATGCTGTTCCCAGCACTTGGCATGCTCTGCTTGACTCGTGATTCTGATAAGCATCTCTTAATTATAATTATATATATTACACAACAGTTACCAAGTGGTGCACATAAAGGATTAATATCATGTCAACCACACATCAGCTATGTGAAGCAGGTAATAACGTACTTATTCACTGTCTCCAGAGGACCAGGGCACTGACTGGAGGCTGATGAGTGACCTGTGAGTCAGGAGTCATGATGTGGACAGTGCTAATGTCCTGGCCTTCCCCTTCTACTACCCATGAGGAGCATTTCCAGGTGCCTGAAGCACAGACAGGTGATTGGGAAGAGCCAATTCAGAGTCACCAAGAACAAATCGTGCTGATGGGTTTCAGTGATGAAGGCATTGGCTCTGCTGACAGTGGAGTGTGATGGATGGTGCTATCTCGGCTTTTGAAGGCTTTTGGCACAGTTTCACATAGCAACCTTGTTGTTAAGCTGGTGGAGGTGTGGACTGGATGGGTAAACTAAACAGTGGATGACTAGTGCTGTGTATCATCTTCATCAATGCTTTGGGTGGACTTGGCTAATCCAGGTGACGTCAAATTAGGGTGAGCAGCTGAAACTGCTGGACATGGCTTGGCTGGAAAAGTCCATGGACTAACTGGGATGGGGTGGCTGGCAAAAAGCACCTTGGAAGGAAAAATGGATCAAAGCTGATATGCTGTGAGGGTTATGCTGGCTCTTGGCCTGTGGGCTCTGATCAGCCCTTTGGACACCACACTGGGTCTGTGTTTGGGAGCTGGCTTCAGCAAGAAGAGGCTGGGGGGAAAATAGCCGATAAAGTAAGGAATTTCTGAGGCTAAAGTTCACACGTTAAGTGGTTTTATTTGTTTGGTTGAAATTAGAGAAAAATTAAATTATTGTGGTTTTCTGCACCAAGAAAACAAGAATGAATTTCTCTTTTCCTTCTGGTTTTCCTTGGTGGTTGCTAGTGGCTGTGGGGACACACTTGGGCAATACAAAGAGACACGGAAATATGTTTTAATGCACTAGTGAGAGGTTTTTCTGGCAAAGTGAGAGAGAAACAGCACGTTACCATTGTGCATTTGGGTGCTGTGGGGGAAGAGCCTGGCCTGCATCTTCCTGCATGGAGTGAAAAGGCATTCCTGGCATGCACAGACACACCTCACGTGCTGGAGCACACCCTTATTATCATGATTAACATTCGTATGATGGATGGCCTCCTGGTGCAGTGTTACTATCTAGTCAATGATGGCATGCATTAGAGAGCAAACAGTTTGTACCTAGATCTGGACCATAGTGAAGTCCATGAATTGGTTCTGTGGTGGGTAACCACAGCGGAGAGGATTTTACAGCACACAGATGGAGGTCAACGTGGTCAGACTGCTACAGCCAGAGCCGAAATCCTCGTGAGTAAACTCTGGCTTTGATTTTAAAGGTACAAGTTTCCTCATGAGAACTTTAATGACTTTTAGCATCTCATGGTAACGTTTGTAATATTTCTAGGGTTAAAAATAAAGGAACCAAGTGTCAGCTAAGGTTTTTCCACTTTATTCTTGAATATACAGAGGAGGAAATAAAATCTCAGGAGTCCTTAATGCTCCTGCCATCACAGTGTGTACTGTTTAACCAGTATAGTCCTGTTTTCAAAATCAGAACAGGTGAATCCATGTCAGGCTGTTTCCCCATCCTTCCTCAGGCTCTTTCCATTCCGATTCTCCATCCCCATGCTGCTCACCGTCTCAGAGGAAGGGAGAAAAGGCTGCTCCACCCTGAGGAAGAGCAAAGTGGGGTTGAATGATTCAAGTCTATTCCTTGGCATGGAGGACCCTGAGAATTTAAAGTGTCAGTGCTGGGGTCAAGCAGGGGACTGCGGACCCTGAATCCAGTGTGCAAAGAGCAGCAAGGAGCCATCAGCCACCGCTTTTGTGCTGAAAGCAGAGGTGAGAACATTGATGAGGCGAGGAGTGAAGCATCCTCCCCTCTGAGCATGTGCTGAGGAGGGGTCCCAGCACATCACTTCTTCTGCAGACAGGGTGGCAAGAGAGTGACCTTCTTTTGCTGGTGCTGGCTGGGATGCTGTGGCAGGGGCACAGCAGCCGGGCGGCAGTGCTGGACCGGTGGGCAGCAGCACGGGCTGCAGGGGCAGCGATGCTGCAGCGGCAGGGGATGCAGTATCACGGGGGGACGAGCATCCTCTACTGGGCACTGGTCCACCCTCCTCCGGGGCTTGCCGCAGCATCCCGGCTCCTCGCAGTGCAGTGGTGGACGGTACTGCTGCAGGGGCCGGCGATGGATCTTCACGGGTGGGGGGCAGATGGGCTGCACATGGCTCACCTCCACCCGCCGCCGGGGCTTGTTGCAGCTCTGCTGTGGTGGGCAGTAGCTCTGCGGTGGGCATGGCTCCAGGGGCTGGCAGCCCTGAGGCTCGCTCTGGCAGGACCCCTCAATGTCACGGCTGAGGCTGCCGGAGTCGTGGCAAGGGGGTAGGTTTGTGGTGCCCATAGGGCTTTCGTGGCAGCACCCTGTCCAGCCCTTCTCGCCACAGACCGAGCTGTCGTGGTACAAGTCCTGGTTGCTGTCTCCTTTCTGGTAGCGCATCTTGTGTTCAGCCAAGCCCCTGGGGATAAATAGCCTGGGAAAAAGCAACAAGCCCCACTGACTTCCTTTTGGTTTGCTGCTTCTATGAATAAAAATGAAGAATCCAAATCAGCTGAGAGAATCCAACTCACCCTGTGACCGGGGATAGATGGGCTGAGCAGAGAGTCTGAGTCCTGAGGACAGGGCTGAAAGCTTTTATATGCAGCCAAGCTCTCTTGGAAATGAGGCATGCCCTGGGAATTAATAGCTGAGCAGTGAGTGCCACTTCTGTATGGATATTTTTTCTGGCACTTGCTGTTGTATTAATCAGCAGCAATTAGCATCTCCCTTGATGGAAGCTGTCAGCTTAGCTCTTTGCATATACAGTGGCCATTATCTAATTAGTTCTCTCATTGGTCATGTTCAAATACGCTGTTACTAAGGTTAGTCAGGTGGGATCCTGGCATCAGGATACCTAGAATACCGTGATGTTGAGTGATGTGCCCAAAAGCAGTCTCTCTGGCAGTGGGAAAGCCACAAAAAGGCCCAGGAGTTCTGGTGTCCGGTCCCATGTGCAGGCACCCAGCAGCTGATGCTTTGAAACAAGGCTTTGCAGATAAGGGCAAGCTTGGACCTTATTTTTCCCAGAAGGTCTGTGATATGTGAATATGATGCTCATCACCTTCCAGAGCATAGAAAAACTGAAGAAATGGAGAGATGGTGAGGAAATTGAGGGTGACATCAGGACCATGTTGAAAGGCAGATATTCTTGGCCTGTGTGGGGTGCTCCATCAAGTGAGTGGGATCAACAACGAAAGCCCTTTTATGCTCTTTAAATCTGGATCAAGGGCCTTATGAAATACGCATTTCAGGCTTTGTCAAGCACCATATCCACCTCTCTGATTTCTGCTTGAACTCCTCTTCTGCGTAGCTTCTCCCCTTTGCATTTCTGTGGATGGTCAAGGCATTTTTTAAGTACCAGCCCCAGGGCTGTCAGTGCAAAAGGTATTTCCATGTGCACACGCTATGGTAGAGCCTCCGTAGGAGATGCTCAGGGCTTGGTCCAGTGGTGTTTGGGTTTGAATCACTGGGCAAAGCATGTGCAGAATTCAGGGTGTGACTCCAAGGCGCGTGCTTGGACTTTGCTGCCACAGAGGTTATTTATTCCTTAGCTACAGGAAAAGTGCCATTGCCTTGCAGGAAACCATGGGGCGTGCGTGGAAGGATGGAAAAGACCTTGGTATCTGTTCAGGCCCAACAGGGATTTTAGGTTTCTTACTGCAGTCCCAAGATTGTGCTGTTTGGGGATTTTTTTTTATGTTGGAAGAGGTGTTTTGGAGTCACTTCCCTTCCTGAGGATTTTACAAAGCAGGAAGTGCAAATATTTAAGTTCTTGTCTCTTAAAATTTGCCACATTTCAATAGTATCCCAGATGAAGTTAGGCAGTATTCCTGAATCCCTCAGGCTACACTTGTATCTCCACATCTTTCAATGAGTACCTCCCTGCACCATGCAGACCATGCTTGGTGTTATAGTTAATCATACAGAGAAGGTATCAAACCTTTTAAGAAGCTCATCAAATTCACCAATGGAAAGATTTCCATTAACAAAAGAGACCTTTAGCTCTGGCTTGAGGACCATACAGATGTTTCTATTGCAAACTGTGTATCTTTAAAAGTAGCATGGAGCTGCATGGCCAGGAGGATGCTCCTGTAGCTTAGGTAACGTATTGTCACTAGCAAGAACTATGACGAAAGACAGACCCAAGGATTTTACTATGTAAACTGGGGTGCTGTCATCATAACATGACAAATAGCTGAAAAATTCATTCTATTCAGGAACCAAGCAACTGCTAAAAGAGTCCCAGATCAAGAGTTAGAGTTTAAAAGACAAAGATAAATGAATAAACATGTACCAGGAGTTTGCAGTGTTATAACTTACACATTTTATTGTCTTTCATGACTAATTAGAGATTAAGCAAGAAAAAGGAACATGAAACATCAACAGCATTAAACATCCCACGCACCAATAGGAAAATGAACAGTAGGACTCGTGCTTACAAACAAAAATCACACTGATCAGTGGATAGCAACCTCAAAGCACATTTGCAAGTGTTCAGTGATTAAAGGCAGGAAAAGGAGAGATTATCTACAGTCTCTAAGCAAAGAAGGAAGGACGTTCAAGGCCATATCCATATCCATATCCAAATGAGCCAGGAGGGAAGCAGCAGCAGCAGAGCACTGCCTTCCCTTTGCCGAGTGGGTTTAGTTTCCACAGCAGCCACTGCTGCTACCGCAGCAGCCACTGTTGTTGCTCATGGTGTAGCAGCAGGCCTGCATGGGCATGCAGCAAGTGGTGGGGCAGCAGCACTGCATGGGCTGGCAGCACATTGGTCTCTTGCAGCACTTCGGGCTGCTGTAGCAGCACACGGTGTAGTTATTATTGCTACCGCAGCATCCGCAACCTCCGTTGGGCATGTTGTTGGTAGTCTTGTAGGCAAAGCTGGAAGGAACAGAGAGAATCTGTCTGTGACTGGGAGCAGGATATTTGGACCTACAGAATTCATTTGAAACTCAGGTTATGCTGAATTCAGAGATTCAATGAGCTGAAACCGAGTCTTGTCTTTTTGTTTGTAGTAAATCTTGCTCATAACTCCTGTCTTTTTTCTGCAATGCAGATGCCCACCTACTCATACCAGGGCATAGAATGATGGAATCATAGAATAGTTTGGGTTGGAAAGGGCCTTAAGGTCATCCAGTTCCAATCCCCCTGCCATGAGCGGGGACACCACACACTAAACTGTGTCACCCAAGACTCCATCCAACCTGGCCTTGAGCACTGCTAGGGACGGAGCATTCACAACTTCATTGGGCAACCTGTTCCAGTGCCTCACCACCCTCCCAGTGAAAAACTTCTCCCTTGTAATGTCTTAGCAAGAACCACACAAGTTCTACCTTATAGTATCTTAGCAAGAACCACAGCCGTGGTCCCCTGGCTGTGCATGGCCCTTCTTGTTCTCCCGTAACCTCTCCATCCCTCTAGCTCGTACCCATGTACAGAGTTCATAAAAGCCCAGATTCAAAGTCCCACCCCAGACACCCTGTCATATTTGGATACTGTTATAAGATATCAAAGCATTTTTCTTTTAGGAAAGGAAGGAAGATTTAGATGTTCTTACTTACCCTGCTGGAGAGTGAGGAGAGGTGAATGAAAGAGAAGATGAGCGAATGAAGCGAGCTGGGCCAGGAGACCTTTTATAGTCCTCGACACCTTCCTCCTGGAAGTGAGACAGCCATTGGACATTTGAACTTCCCTGTTTACAAACCCAAACCCATACTTTTTAGCTTTACGTGTCTCCTGGTATTTACTCTTTGCCTTATTATTTGTGATCACTACCTTTGTTTTGCCTCATAATTGTTTAGCCTGCAGATAATCAAAGGGCTGCTATGAATAGTAATGAATTTGTCTTCTCTGCAACCTTGCAAGGGAGCCAAAAATGTGCCTTCCTATCTGCTTGACAAATGCAGACAGTGACGGCTGAAGATGCTAAGGGACTTACTCAGCAGCAGCTTGATGCTGAATCAGTGGCAGAGCCGAAACTGAACCCCTGGGATGTGTCTTTCGGGCACGTAAGAGGCTGGTTCATCAGAATGGTGTTCGAAACAAATATTTGGCAGATTTCGTGAAAATGGGTATTTTCCATCCCAGTCACAGGATGCGCATGTGAGGAGGGAGAGAGAAGACCATGTGTTTGGGATGTGTTGGGAGTCATGCCGGCTCCAGGGTTGCAGTCACCTGCACGTGCCTGCGTGCAAGATCATCTGTCCATCCTGCATGCAAAGAGCATCTTTGTGATACCAAATCCATCTTTGCCCTTTGGCTTGCCTTAACTTTTGCAAACCCTTCCAACCTGGGGTGTTTAGGTTTGCATGGGGGCACCTCTGGCGCAGGAGCGTTCCAGTTCCTGCTCTGCTTTGCTGGGACTGCTTCCCTAAAAACGTGTTCTGGAATTCTGAATTGAATATTCGCTTCAGAATCCTTTGCATTTCAATTGAGAAAAGAAGGAGCAGCACTGCCTGTGCAAACAGCAATGCAAGGAACCACAGCTCTAGGACCGGGCCATTGCAAGTCAACGTGTCCCCCCTACAACCTCCCCTTATATCCAGCTGAAATCTCCTTGTGTGCTGGAGCCCTGGCATCCAGTGGCACCAGCCCTGCCCAGCTCCTCAGCAAGGAGCTGGAGGTTGTGCAGGACTCAGAGTGTTGGAGGTGGTAAAAGAAGGAGCCCAGCTTGGCCCAAAAGAGGGAGAGGAATGTGGAGGTGGAATAGATGTGACAAGCACAGAGAACTGGTTCTGACTGGGGTCATGGAGCTACGTGGGTGGTGGGGACTCAGAAGTGATGCAGGAAGAGAGCTAGTTGAGGTGGAACCATTTACTGGGAGGGAGAGAAAGAGGAAGGTCAAGGTAAGGCAGAGCTTTGGGCAGCTGAGCCAGGGTGGATGAATGCTTGTTTGATGCCAGCCACTGCCTGTGATGCACTTTGCTGTGGGGCTGGATGCTGGCAGGAACACCAAGGGTATTTGGGTGGAATTTTTTGCACGGCCTACAATTGCAGCTCTCATTTGAAGACCTTGATACATTATCCTGAGAGAAGCGCTGCCTAATGAGAGGATGGTGGAGCCTGCCTGGCAAGTTCCCTGTCTGCTGCCTGACATCCTCTGGGATCCCTGGGATGCTCCCATGGGGGGTTCTCCTAGATAAGCTGCTGTCAGCCCTGAGGACGTTAGGAGAGCCTTGTTTTGATTTCTGCACAGTGCAAGGGCGAGCAGATAGTGATTTTAGTGCTGCAGTAAATGCAGCCAGCTTCTTCCCAGGCTTTCCTGGAATGAGAGTAATTCCTTGAGTGAGATGCTGCAGAAGCAGCACACGTAATTGCAACTTCTCCAGACAGGGCAGAAGAACATGCATGGCATTTCCTTTCCTCAGAGGTGCCCTGTCAGGATGCATGCCTGCCCATGA